TGCAACCCAGGAAGCGAGCATGCAGATGCATGCACTCCTAGGAGTGAGCACGTGGTGTCTGCACCCCTGGAAGGGAGCACACAGGTGCATGCACCCCAGGAAGCGAGCATGCAGGTGCATGTGCTCCCAGGAGTGAGCACACGGTGTCTGCACCCCAAAAAGCAAGCACCCGGTGCCTGCACCCCAAGAAGCGAGCACCCCTCTCCAGAAGCAAGCACCTGAGTGTATGCCCCTCCAGAAGGAAGCATCCAGCGCGTGCACCCCAGTGCTTGTACCCCAGTGCATGTACCCAAATGTGTGCACCCCAGTGCTTGCACCCCAATGCGTGCACTCCAGTGCATGCATCCCAGTGTGTGTGCCCCAGTGCTTGTACCCCAGTGCATGTACCCAAATGTGTGCACCCCAATGCATACACGCCAGTGCTTGCACCCTAATGTGTGCATGCAACACAGCATGTGCACCCCAGTGTGTGCACTCCAGTGCATGCACCCCAGTGCTTGTACCCCAGTGTGTGCACCCCAATGCATGCACCCCAATGCGTGCATGCACCACAGCGTGTGCACCCCAATGCACGCACCTCAATGTGTGCACCCCAACGCATGCACCCCAGTGTGCGCCCATCAGTGGAACCAACCCCAGGACGGCCACATCCATGGGAGCCGGGCAGTTTTCCCAAGCCCATCCCGGAGCCATCGCGGTTCCCACGTCCCCGCGCCGCCGCTCCACTCACCCGGCTGTCGGCGCTGGGCGTCATCGTGTCGGTCATCCAGGAGCCGAAACGGGATCCGGAGGCACGGATAGTGATGGGATTGCTGACGCCCGTGAGCTTCCCGCAGCCTGCGGGGACAGAGGGGACGGTGAGGCCGCGCCGTCCCTCCTCTGCATGCAGATGTTTGCTTTTAATAACATTTTCTTGTCGTTTTGTTCCACGCACCCAGCTTCTGCACGCAGGCGTGCAGGCGTGCCTCGAGCAGCAGCACCCGCTGCTGCAGCTCCTCGTAGTCGTAGGCGCCCATCTCCTCCTGGATGGCCAGCAGGTTGCCCGAGAGGTTCCTCACCTCGTCCTTGAGGTGTGCCACGAGCCGCGTGTCCGCCCTGTACTGCTCCAGCACCGGCAGCAGTGGCAGCAGCTCCCGCATCTTGTCCTTCAGCTCCTGCAAAGCCGCGGGGGAACGCCGGGAACGGGGAGGGAATGCCTGGGATCGGGCATCCTTTCCCCCCGCTTTGAGGGGAAGCTCCATCCCGAGCGCCCCAACCTGGCACAGCCACCGCTACCACCCTGGATGCAGGGTGGGAACCGGTCCCAAAGCACTGGGAATGCGGATAAAATCCCTGCAGGCTGCAGCGGGCACAGGGCGGCCGCACCAGGAAACCCACCAAAACGCTGCGGTTTCCCCCCAAAAAAAGCAAGGGGATTTGCAGGGCTCCTTGGCCCGCACGGCTCTGCAACGCTCCATGCAACGCGTGCTACCTGGAAGCTCCTGGCGTTGAGGCTCCGCTGGCCGTCGGCGGCCACCCGCAGCCGCGCGTCCAGGCCCCGCATGAGCGCCTCCGTGTTGCGCACGTACTGCAGGTCGCGGCTGGTCCGCAGGTCCAGCACCTCCATGGACTGCGAGATGTTCTGCACCTGCAGCCGACATCCCCGCTCCGCATGCTGCAACCCCTCCGGATTCACTTGCCATTTGCTTTTCAAGCCCCCCGGATCACGCACGCGGCCGCTCTGCAATCCCGGCGCGGGCAGCAGAGTTGTTTTATTTCCATGCTCCGAACCGGCGCGAACGTGGCCATGTTGCTTAAGCGCTTATTTATTTATTAGCGTGGGCCCTGCTGGCGTTTGCGGTGCGGTTGCAGCCCCTAAAGGGAGCTGTTTAAGAGGCTTTTTTTTGCAGCAAGTTAAAATAAAAGTTTAATTGGGTTTGTGGCGGGCACGGAGGTGCAAAGACCGGGAGGAAATTAAATGAAAGCGGCTGCTTGCGCAGGGGAACGGGGCCGCGGCGGGTCCCCCCAGCACTGCTGCAGCAAAGCGGCGCCGATGCAAAATACCAGGCTAAAGTGCACTCGATTTTTTTCTTGCTTTTTTATCATATTTAACCTTTCTGGCAGCCTCGCGGGCTGGTGGACGTGGCCGCACATTGCAGCGGGTCAATCCCATTGCAAGCCAAGTGGCTCTGCAGCTGAAGCTGAATGTGGAAGGCAGCACCAGCAAAGAGCAGGGCTTTGCACCCCGGGACAGCCTGGTACAGTGCAGCATGGTGGCATGTGCTGTGACATCGGGCACAGTATCATCGTGAACGGTGTCATTGCAGCCACATGTGCACATTGCAGCACCACGGCATCGTGCATGGTGCCACTGCGTCCTGTGTCATTGCAGCCGCATGCGCACATTGCAGCACCACAGCATCGGGCACGGTGCCATCATGAACGGTGTCATTGCAGCCACATGTGCACATTGCAGCACGACGGCATCATGCACGGTGCCATCGTGCACCATGTCACTGCAGCCACATGTGCACATTGCAGCACGACGGCATCATGCACGGTGCCATCGTGCACCATGTCACTGCAGCCACATGTGCACATTGCAGCACGACGGCATCATGCACGGTGCCATCGTGCACCATGTCACTGCAGCCACATGTGCACATTGCAGCACGACGGCATCATGCACGGTGCCATCGTGCACCATGTCACCGCAGCCACACATGCACATTGCAGTGCCACGGCATTGTGCCATCGTGCACGATGTCACCGCAGCCACACGTGCACATCGCAGCACCGCAGCACCATGCACCTCAGCGTCATGCACGGTGCCATCGTGCACCATGTCACTGCAGCCACACATGCACATTGCAGCACCACAGCATCGTGCACGGTGCCATCATGCACCATGTCACCACAGCCACACGTGCACATTGCAGCACCACGGCATCGTGCCATCATGCACCATGTCACTGCAGCCACATGTGCACATTGCAGCACCAGGACATCATGCACGGTGCCATCAAGAACAGTGTCTCCGCAGCCACACGTGCACATCGCAGCACCGCAGCACCATGCACCCCAGCGTCATACATGGTGCCATTGAGCCCCGTGTCACCGCAGCCGCGTGGCAGCACCGCAGCAGCGCCGCTTACCTTCTCCGTGAGCTGCCGGAGCTGGTGGCTGCGCAGGTCCCGGGAGCAGCTGCCCTGCACCGGGATAACGGCCGTGCAGAGGCACTTGCCGTCGGGCGCCTGCGCCGACGTGTAGACCTGCCAGCCCTCATCCGGGCTCTGGAAGAGGGTCTGCGGGGGACGGTGCCATGAGCACGGGAATGGGGATGTCACCTGCCATAGGGGATCCCGGGAATAGGGGGATCTCTGGGAATAGGGGCATCGCCTGCCACAGGGGATCCCTTGAATAGGGGGATCACCTAGAACAGGAGTGTCTGCCATAGGGGATCCCAGGAATAGGGGGATCACCGGGAATAGGGGCATCACCTGCCATAGGGGATCCCGGGAATAGGGGGATTGCCTGGAACAGGGGTGTCTGCCATAGGGGATCCTGGGAATAGGGGGATCACTGGGAATAGGGGCATTGCCTGCCATAGGGGATCCTGGGAATAGGGGGATCACCTGGAACATGGGTGTCTGCCATAGGGGATCCCAGGAATAGGGGGATCCCGGGAATAGGGGCATCATCTGCCATAGGGGATCCCAGGAATAGGGGGATCACTGGGAACAGGGGCATCACCTGCTATAGGGGATGCCGGGAATAGGGGGATTGCCGGGAATAGGGGCATCATCTGGCCATAGAGGGACACTTGGGAATAAGGGGATTGCCAGGAATAGGAGCATCATGTGGTCATAGGGGGACACCCAGGAATAAGGGCATCTTCGAGGTTCCTAGCAATAGGCGACCTCTGGGAATAGAGGAATTCCAGCCATAGGAGAATTGTCTGGACGTAGCTGGAACGTCACCAATAGGGAAATCCCAGCCATAGGGGCATCCCCTGGCCATAGGGGGGCTCCTGGCCATAGGGCACCCCTGGGAATAGGGCACCTCCAGCCATAGGGACATCCCTTGGCCTTGAGCAAAGGGGAACCCCCTCCAGCAACACAAGGACCCCCAATATTTTGGGTACCCCACCATGGGGGACCCACCACACACATTCCTCTCCACTAGCCCAGCCCATCCACGCACAAGCCGCGTTTTTGCGCCGGGCCCTTTCGCATTTCATGGGCAATTCATAACGATTAGTGAGGAGAACCGAGAGCAAACGCGTCCCCTCCCCGCGGCGCCGCTAAACGAGCCGCTGCCGTAAGGAGCCGGGGCTGGCGCTGCGCACGCCCGGCTTTTAGCTCCGTGTTTCGCATCGGAAGGGATTTATTGGACACGGCGGCAGCTAAATGCCGCTCTCAAATCTCCAGTGCAACAAGCGTAAATTAAGTAACGAGGGTGTAAAAAGCTCCCCGGGCGCAGTAAATCCCCCTGTTATTGCAGAGGGAGGCGAACGGCCCCTGCGCTTAGCAGAGCTGCAGCCGCTCCTGAGCCGCATCCGGAGCATTCCCAGAGCATGGGAGCATCCGGGCGGCCGCCTTGGAGCGGGCAAGGGAGCGGCGCCCGGCTGTGGCTGTCACGGATGTGCATGTCTTGCAACGCGCCCTTGCACACGTGCGTGTTCACGCTTGCATGAGTGCATGCACCCCCGTGCAAAGCCTTGCACGCATGGCCCTGCATGAGTGCGTGTCCTTATACGCATGCCTTTGCACGGGGGCACTCCAAGCTCTGCATGGCCTTGCACGCACACCCTTGCACACCCAGCCTTGCACACCCAGCCTTGCACCCGTGGCCAGCGGGTGCGTGGGCGGCAGCCCATTCCAACCACATTAGCGGCGCCGCTTC